AGCAAGGAAGGGGAAATGTTTACTTTGGTATACTTAAAAAATGTCAATTTTATTGACTTTTCCCATGAAAGCAGAAACCCACATTTTTGTGCATGCTGTTAGTACACAGCTATACACACTTAATTTGCTACATACCTCAAAGATATTTTTCAAAGCAAGAAAATCACACTTGCTTGAGTCATTTTTCTTAAGGATGCCTTTAAAAAAAATTCATTTATTTGAACAGCAGAATTACATACACACACAAAAGAAACAGAGAAAAGATCTTCCATCTACCTACCGGCTTACTCCCTGAATGGTTGCAACGGGCAGGGCAGGGCCAGAATAGTGCCAGGAGCTTCTTCTGGGTCTCCACATTGGTGCAGGGCTCAAAGACTTGGATCATGCTCTACTGCTTTCCCTGGCTCACCAGTACAAAACTGGATCAGAACTGGAGGAACGCATACAGCATACTGGTCCTGTGGGCTGTGGCTTAACCTACTACACCACAGCACTGGCCCCCGTAGCACATTCTTAACCAGTATAAATCTCTGCCTCCATTTCAAAAAACTTAACACTTGTGTCAAGACATCTCACTTGAAGAAAGAATACAATCATAGCACATTTGGAATCACAACCTTATCTAATGTTACACTTAATCTTAGGACTAAATTCTTGGGAACTGTCATCTTCAGTTTGGAGTGGCTGCAACAGTTCCGTTAGCAGCACTGAGCTACACACTGGAAGTCACAGCCTGCTTGGGTCTCAAATTTCCATGAGAATCTATTCATTAATCCTTGTCAAGCTTCCAAAGTCCTTGAAACACAGGGCTTCATTACTGAGAAAGTCAAGTCTCAAACAAATGAAAATAAGAACTACCACGTGACCCTGTAATCGCTTTTCTCAGTATATACTACAGGGAACCTCTCTGCCCGCCCATGGAAGCAAAATGTGGGAACAATGGAAACACGTTTCTGTGGACAGGTGGAATAAAGAAGCTGTGTCATGCACATACACAGAAGTACACACAAACACACACTGCAGAAGTAATCAGCCTTAAAAAGATCTCACCACCCGCAGCATGGGTAAAGAGGTAGAGACACTAAGGCCTTCAGTCACTATGTTATATTTAACATATTATGTACAGGCCTCGGAGGACGTTGACCCCTCTCATTTTTCTCCTCATGAATGTTCCAGCGCTTCACTCCCTTTTGTTTTTTTTTCCCCCAGGGATAGTCTCATAATACATTTTTTAAAAAAAAGACATTTGAAATACTGAAACATTCAAAATAGTCCTGATCTGAAAGACTTTAAATATCTCAAAGCTTAAGTCACAGGTAAGAATAAAACTTTCAACAATGGCATTATGTCACTCATTATATTGGTCCATAACTGTATTCAGTGAATTCTGAATCTATTGCCACAATGAAATAAAAACTAATTGTATTCATGTAAGAAGGCTGGTCAAAACTTAATTTGTACTAATTCTAAAAAAAAAATTTTTAATCTAACTTTTATTAAAAACAGGTTCTCCACTCATGGCATCAGAATTACTAGTGTTCTTGAACTGGAAAGGGCAGTAGTCAAAAAAATCAGCTGATGAAGACAAACACTATAGGAGGCGCAGCAGCCCGACTGCTGACGCTCAGTCTGAGCACTAGAACCCTCATCTCAATCCTCAAAATGGTACTAGGCCTATGTTGTCAAACAAGTCTAAAAATCACATTAGCCACATTTCAAGTACATGAAAGCCCCATGTGTTTAAACTTGTTTTTAAAATTTTTAAATAGATTCCATAATATGAAAGTACTTCAAAAATGTGGGATTACCAGTTAGGGGCAGGCTAGTGATTCTGCTGTCAAGATGCTCATTAAGACCCCTGCATACCTTATCAGGGTTTTCTAGTCTAAATCCTGCTCCAGTTTGCAGGTTTCCCACTAAGGCATACCTTGGGAGACAGCAGGGGACGGTGAAGAGTATGGATCCCAGGTGAGAGAACCAAGTTCCTGACTTCCAGCTTTGAACTGGACCAACACCAGCTATCATAGGCATCTGGAGAGTGAACCAGTGGATGAGAGATATCTCTCAAATAAACTTTTAAGAAGTTTAGGGCCCATCTGAAGACCTCATCTTGCACGCACCAGCATCCCAAATGAGCACTGGTTCTAATTCTGTCTGTTCTCCTTCCCATCCAGCTCTCTTGCTTATGACGTGGGAAAGCAGTCAAGGATAGCTCAAAGCCTTAGAACCCTGCACCCACATGGGAGTCCAGGAGGAGGCTCGTGGCTCCAGACTGGCTTAGCTTCAGCCATTGCAGCTAACTGGGGAGTGAAGCCGTGCATGGAAAATCTTCCTTTCTGTCTTTCCTCCTCTCTGTATATCTGACTTTCCATAAAACAAACAAACAAATAAATCTTTAAGAAATTTCTCTAAAGCTTATTTTGTTGCAAAACATTCGTGAAAACCCATGCAGCTTTTTCGTTTATTTACAAGTTAAAGATTTTAATGAACTTGCTGCAAGCTCCATATATGCATGGATTTTTAAAAAAAATATATTTGGACCAAACTTCTAAGTAGCTTCATAAAATAACTTATGTAAACTGCACAAATCTCATGTATTTCACGACACGAGGGAGGACGGAGATGCTTCGCATCCTGCGCTCCTTCCAAGTTACCTTCTAACTCCAGTTTTTGAATTTCTCTTGAATAGAAAGATTCTAAAAACTATTTTGACAGTACAAACACGAAGAAAAGCTGGAATACAGTCTGACTGAGTAACTGAATGCATTTTGGCATTTTGTAATAACTTCTAGAACAGAAAGTGGTTAATGTGAGAACTGGGAAACTAAACTAAGTCTAGGATGAATTAGTACATGTGAGTTAGATTTGTCACCGTCCCTTCTGTAGCTATCCTTCCAATTTTTCTGTAAGTCTGAAATCAAAATTTAAGTTCAGTAAACAGTTATGTGAGATAAATCTACTCAAGTTCCCAGTCCATAAATGCTAATCACTGTGAATCCCAAATCGTAAGCACCAGAGGTATAGTCACAGTCCCCCAATCCACTCGTTTATCAGAAAAAGTATAGTTACTTTTGAAGAGAAATTTAGCAAAAGAATCATGAAGTGAGTGAAACTGCTGGCAAAACAACATAAATTATTTGCAAAAATTTCATATATTCCCTAGCTTGTTCAGATTTGTGGAAAATCCAAAAACAAGACCCAAACATGTTCATATTGTTCATGAGGATGCAAAACAATTTACACGTGCAGAAGGCATAAAGAACAGGTACTCAGATCATACTAAAAGCAACTCCCCACGGGCCAGGGAGCAGTCTAGACGAAGATAACCAAATGTCCATATTTAGGATCATGAAGTCCTAAGAAATTGGAAAGGGGGAGACCAATGGCAATTTGAATGATCCATCAGATGAATTCTCAGAGATTTTGAAAAGCTGAAAGGCTTGATAAAGACATCCCTGGTCGAAAATTAGGTTAAAAAAAAAAAAAAAGATGAACATGAAAGAGATACAGGCGCTGTAAAAAGCACAAGGGAGTGACTGGAGACATGATAGTCACATCATGATGGGATTTTGATTAAAGCAGGTCTTGAAAGCTGGAACAACTAAGGACAACTTAACATTTCTGTACAGGAGAGTACTGGGAGAAAGTGAAGTTTAGAAAACTAATATTCCAATGCTCCTGACTCCATTCCAGATCCATGCTAACTGTATCAGACATCCAGGTTCAAAGCCACTCACCTTCAATGCCTCTTCTCATCTCATCAGGAGCCTGTCCCACCAATTCTACCTCACACACCTGTCACTCTTACTCTGACGGCAAAGACCTCCATTTAAACACTCATTACGCTCTCTACTCCTGGCTCGCTATCAGATCATGCTTCTACTGAGACATTAGGTACTACTGACCCAGACGCTCCAGAAACCAAGGTTGAACGCCTGTTTTTCCCCATTCGTATCCTTTCCCAGAATGTCTTTCTTGAGCTCTTTTTTCTTATCCAGTGGTTAACTTAATTTACACACGCATGCACACACACACACACACACACCCCCATCTGACTGGCTCCATGTCTTCTGTCTCAACCCTGCCCATGACCACCAAGTATTCATTGCTCTAGGAATAGCAACAGCTCTGCATATCACTTCATATCTCTGCCTTGAGTCACTCTCTCATCTTTTCATTTTTCAGAGTTCCTGATTTCGAGGAGGGCTTTCCTCATCCCCTAGCTTAAACTAAGCTAACAGGCACTGCTCTGCGTTTCAATACAACGTAAGATTTCTCAGCCTTTACCATGCGGAGTCTGAGCATGTCACTCTGACTGCAGTGAAATATAATCTATTCTTGCTTTTGCTCATTCTATATACCTCATAAATGTTATGCAGACAGACACCACACTTATGATATAGTTTTAAAAACACTGAGAAAGCCTGGCACTTTTCATTCCCAAGCAGTCAGCCCCTAGGATGAAATTGAAGACAAACTGGGCTTTCTGTTTTCTTCTCACACTTAAGTCTCTTGTTGGGGGGAGGATCTCTGTGTTGTGCAACCTACAGCACTGACCTAAATGACAATACAGAGATGGCTGTCACCATCTGTCTTCAAGCAGACGTGGAGGACAACACAGCGAGAGAAAGGAATGAAGCTCACAGAACCTCTATGGGATGTTGTGGGGCCACCCAACAGACTCCCACCCCCTGAGAAGACTTTCAGCTGAAGACTGAAGAAATACAATACAAAGACTGAAACAGGGCTGGAACAGGAAGTGGTGCTCATCTGAGGAGACAGCACATTCTCCACATGGCCATCTACACCCCGATAAACCATCACACCCCAAAGGATGACTCGTGCAAGGTGCTGCCCCTGGAGCCTGTTCCCATCCTGTCTCCTTCACACTCTTCTCCCTCCCATTCTAGAGGTGAATAAAAACGCATATAAACAAACTTGCTTTAATGAAAAAAAAAGAAAAAGAAAAAAAGAATAAAAAATAGCTTGAAGCAACGTACCTTTGATTTTTTGTTCAGTGGCCTAAAAACAAACAAACAAACAAAAACAATGTAAATATGAAACTGAAAGAAATGGATTGTTATGATAAAATGTTCATATATTTCTATTATACAAGATATACATTTATATTAAATAAAGAATCTGTCATTTAGATGAAGTGCTTTGGAAAAGACAGGCAAGGAAGGCATACTTTTCCCACAGATGTGCCCCATTTCCTCAATACTTGCTACATGTTATTAATAAAAAAAATTCTGCAATATTTCACAGAAGACATCACTATGACTACAGTAGCATTTTTAATGGGAGCTATACATTTCCATTTAATGATTTTTATGTAACTGTCACCTTAATATTTAATGGATTTAATAAGGCTTGCATGTTTAAGTAAGCTCAAAAATTAATACAGATGCATCAACTTTTCTGTAGGTAAAATTGCATGAGATCATTTGCTGACTAGGAAAGACTTTGAAACTAAGTTGTCACTTCGTACATATCTACTTGATAAAGGATCCTAGTCAGAAGGCACAAACTGACAGGAGCTCTGCTCGCACTGCCTCCCACTGCCTGCAAACCCTCTCCCTTTTTTCTGACAATGCCTGAAAGGGGGTAGAAGGCAGTAGGACTGTCTCAAGGCAACTAAGCTCCAACTTCCAGCAGGCCTGAAAGAGAAGCACAGAGTCCACCCCAGCAAAACTCAAACTCCATGGAGTCCTGGGGATAACAGATACAACTGGCAAGCAGGGAGGGAAGATTTTCCATTAGTAACGGTATAACCAGCAAGTTGTTTCTCCCTTAATTGTCATGTGGCATGACAAATGATTTTGCTTAGTCAAATACAAATTAGGTCACCACAAACACCATTTTTAAATTATGTCAATGTAGACATGTATAAGAAGCATAGCAATTACCATAACAGTGAAGCCATATCAAATATTTATCATTCCCCTGAGAGCCAGAGCTTCCAGCCAGGGCCTAAATAAAGGGCTTTACTGGAGTATACACCATGATATACCACGGTGACCACAAGGCAAGTGAGGCCCAGCGTTTTTACTTTTTAGAGCAAAATCTCTCGAAAAAATTGAGGGAAGGCCAATTAGCTTGACAACAATTTATTTCTGGGACATGGGGTTTATAAAATTCTGATAGTAGAGAAACAAGTCTTATTAAAGAGATCTTGGTATTGAAATACTTTTAAGTATTAGAAGTAGCATGTCAAACAGTAAGATACATAATCTTCTAAAGTCAAAGAATTATTCTGTGGCATACTGAAAACCTTCAAAAAAAATGAAAAATGGTTACTCTCTTTCACAGTTTACTTTCACTGAACATAAGTTTTAGTGTATAGAGACCAGGGTCACATTACTTGAACCCAAGGTTGAGTAACACTGCTTTTCTACTAGACACACGCACAAAAAACCTACACAACTCCTGAGGAAAAACAGCTGCGTGCTGCTGCTTGGCAACGGTGTTCAAGCGCTCTGTCACCTACAGACAGTGACATCAAGGGGAAGCCTGAAGTGTCAGCCCTCAAACACCAACCAAATATAACACAACACATGGCTACCGATCAGTGAAACACGGCTAGTCTGGACTGAGACGTACAAAATATCTACCAGCTATCTAACCTTCAGTTCTTTTAAAACATACTAAAAATTCACTAATAATATTTTATACTGATTACACGCTAACATATTTATATTTTTTCTTATCCTAGGATTCCATAAAATACATCAATATTACCTTAACTGTCTCTCTTTACTTTTAAATTATCTTACCATGTAAAACCTCTGGGTCTTAGTTTCCTATTCTTGCAAAATAACAGTTCTGCTCACCTTTCAGGATTATAGAGACAGTCAGAATACAACAGAGTTTCTTGGGGAAAAGTACACGAGTAAAATCATTGTGGAGCTCCTTGCACAACAGAATCCACAGCTTCTGATAAATTTACACATAAAATCACTATTTCCGTTGCAGATGTTTTCTTTAAAATATGAGTTGTGACTTCAAAAGTAATGAGCACAACTGCCTCAACTGTTAAGTGACAAGCTGTAGACACACAGTGATGGCTGTTCTGCTCCCACCAGGCTCCCCAGTGCTCAACTCTTGAAAGCTCCAAGCATACTTCAGTAGCTTCAAGTTCAAACTTCCTACCTTTGTGTCCTAGTCTAACACTTAGACCTTGTTCAAGTTAATTAATTTCTCCAAAGTTTGATTCCTTCATCTATAAAACAGTAGGGAAAAAAAAAAAGCCCACTCACCTTAGAGCTGCTTGAGATTAAGTGAAGGAAATGAGCTTGTATCAACTACTCAGCACAGTACCTGGCCTACAGAGAAGCACCCAGAATCTCTTAGTTACTGCAATCCCCACACCATCTGCCTGAGCTTTGACACCTCCTTTCTCCCACATTTGGAAATGTGCTGGCTACATATGAACTCCTAGTCCCCAGGACCTGCTCTTTTGTATTTAAGCCTAACTCTAGAAATAAAAAATTAAGTCTAGTCCAGTTCAGTTGTTTTTAAGTGGGACAATAGGCACTCAGAGAGAATTATTCTATGATTGAGCTGCCAGCACTGATTCTAGAATTTAGGTCTGAATAAGACAGAAGGGGAGGAAGGTTGACCAGGTGGCCTAAAAGGCTACTCCTCATCCTGCTGGTGCCAGCACCCTGCTTATGGCCTGGGGAAGCAGCAGCAGAACGGTCCCTACATACATATGGGAGACCAGGAAGACACTCCTGGGGTTTGGAATGGCTCATTTCTGGATGTTGCGACCATTTGCAGAGCGAATCAGCAGATGGAAGATTTACCTCTCCTTCTCCCTCTTTATTTTGCAAACATTAAGAACTTAAAAACAAGTGAGAGAAAATGAGAAAAGGTGGAAGAAGAGCATTATTGAATGTGTACATTTAAAAATCCTAGATAAACCCAGATTGCAATTTGATGCAGCTCAGAAGAGCTTCATATGTTCTATTGTGTTCACTGAGTTTCGAAACAAACTAAATTAAATTAACTCAAGGAGTTAATGCAAACTGATAAATCTAGTTCATAGTCTTAAAGTGTTCAGGTCTAGTCTGATCTTTACCAAAGGTTGAAAACATGATTTTTTTCACACCCAAGTTCTAAACTCAAGTATTCAAATTGGGGGTTCCAACTGAACCCATTACACATTAGGTTGGGAGAGATTATAATTCTCATTGTTTTGTTATCTAGACTTCAACAAGAAGGAGCAAGCAGAGCCCAAACACCACTCCAGGCTCCTATGACGCCTTCTACCTCTAGATCACCCCCTGAAGAACCCCTACTGTTGCCTTTACTCAGCAACATCCCCTTTCACCACAGAGCAGATAGAGCGGTTGTCACTCCATCACCACTAAGGAGCAGTTAGGGTTCCTTCTGTGTGTGGGGAGTAGGATGTGTGAGGATTCACAGGGGCAATTAGGGTTTTTCTGGTCCCCAAGTTATTAATATAAAAGTGTATTTATTTCTCGCCCATGTCTCAACTTCCCCCGAGTGTTTTTAAGGACACCCTCTTTCCTTGAGGAAGGACAGAGGAGCAGAATTAACATCAATTCACCATCTAGAAGTGGCCCACGGAATCTCACCTGAAGATCAGCTAATCTTTAGAAGGGGAATAAGGAAGTTAAGCAATCCCACCCTTCTGGGTCTCTTTGTTCTAGAGAAAGGTGCTACTGACAACAATTTTTTTCCTTTGTCCTTTGGGTAACTCCCCTGGGAAGGGGGCATAAAAGAAACCATTTCCACACTTACTTTGGGTTTTTTCTTTCCTTCCTCCTGCCACTATGGCAGGAGCCCTTTTTCCCCTAAATAAATCCTTTTTTGCAAACAGGGAAAAAAAAGAAACAAACAAACACACACCCTAGATGAGTGCACAGCTCCATGCCTGGACATGTTGCTCCCAAAGTTACCAAGAGAATTTGCTAAATAAGGGGCTCAGGGTGGTAGCCTAGTGGGGGGGGGGGGCCCTCACTTCGCAAGTGCTGGGAACCCATAGAGGGGCCGGTTCTAATCCTGGTGTCCCTGCTTCCCACCCAGCCCCCTGCTTGTGTCCTGGGAAAGCAGTAAAGGATGGCCCAAAGCCTTGGGATCCAGCACCCACATCGGAGACTCAGAAGAAGCTAATGGCTCCTGACTTTGGATCAACTCGGCTCTGGCCGCTGTGGCCACTTGGGTGGTAAACCAGAGGATGGAAGATCTTTCTGTCTCTCCTTCATTGTGTAAATTTGATTTTCCAATAAAAATAAATAAATCTTTAAAAAATATATTGTAATGAGCTTTATTAGTGTCTTGTTTACATTTAAGTCATATTATCTGGCTTTTCATCTATAACAGGAAATTTGTGGGATGAATTTAAATTTCTTAAAATATTACACTGGGGCCTGGCGCGATAGCGTAGTTAAGTCCTTGCCTTGCAATGTGCCAGGATCCCATATGGTCACCGGTTCTAATCCTGGCAGCCCTGCTTCCCATCCAGCTCCCAGCTTGTGGCCTGGGAGAGCAGTAAAGGACAGCCCAAAGCCTTGGGACCCTGCACCCGAGTGGGGGACCCAGACGAGCTCCTGATTCTTGGCTTCAAATTGGCTCAGCTCCAGCCATTGCAGCCACTTAGGGAGTGAACCAGTGGATGGAAGATCTTCCTTTCTGTCTCTCCTCCTCTCTGTATATCTGCCTTTCCACTAAAAATAAATAAATTTTCTTAAAAAAGAAAAAATCACATTGGCTACTGGAGCCTGTCAAAATCCATGTATTTTCTGTTTTATAACAGACCTATTTAATGCATTAGAAAAATTACTACTGCATATTATTTCCCATATTAATTCTGCCACCATGATGAAGCCAAGATTAGCCTGACACATTCTGACACTTCGCTTCCTACATTCCAGTGTATAACTGGAAATGAACAGACTAGAACAGATAATATCTGAAATGTTTTTCAGAAATGAAACTGTACAGATCATATCAAACAGATCATCTGTTCTTACCGTAGTCAGCTTATGCTGCAACATTCTTATCAATGGGCCTGAGCAGCTGGCTCACACAGATGTCCGACACCTGCCTGGACACACCTGCGGGACTCCACTGCACACAGATCTGAGAGTCTTTCAAACACGCGCTAACTGTGCCTACTTGGGAGCCTTATTATTATAATAAAGCTATTTTTAACAACGCCTGGAAATATCAGCTGTCCTTACTTCACCCACAGGTTGTCTTCAAACTTAGCTGGAAACTGGTGAGTACAGTCTAACATGACAGCCTAAGCTATCAAACGTTCATGTATTAGAAGAACAGAACTTTCCTTTTATGTTGTGTGCAGTGGGTAAATATTACATCTATGTATACATAGGGATACCCTACCAGGACTTAAGACCTGGCATTACAAAAAAAAAAAAAAAAAAAAAAGAGTTCTGAGTTTCTAATGTCAGTTCTAGCAGGATGTGATTCAGGTGAGACAGAAGCAGGGGGAGAGGCAAGGATGAAGTGAGAAAGAGGCTAGCACTTTAGACTCGGTGAGATGCTAAATGGCATGATAATCACCATTCATGTACTTGAGGCATACTCACACTAAGAACACATCGGGGCCCCTGTACTGATCTGGCAATTTACAGACTTGATTACAAAATAACACAAAGATGAACTTCGACAAATCGGAGCCACAGTCTATGTTACAACGTAAAAAAAAAATACTCTCATGAAAATATACTTAAAGAACTCATTCTGCAACATATTGGGTTAAATTTCAAATAAACAGTCTTACACATCACCTTTGTCCTCTTCTCTAGCCATTTCACATACATTTTGACTTAGCAGTTTTAACTCCTGAACTCCTTAAATGCAGGGTCGATGAGCCCTAATACAACACTCAGATGCTTGCCACATCACTGATTCCACAAATACTTTACCCAAGCAGATCTTCAGAAAATCTCAAGTTTCTTAGAAGCTCTTCTGACTAGCTTCACACTACAGCAGACTTACTGAGAACACAATGTTTTCCTATCAAATCCTGGACCAAAGACTTGTCAGACTGCAAACACTGTTCTCCATAAAGTAACCTGTAACGGGTATAAGGCATTAATCAATGCCAAAACTCCAGAGCAGAAACCTACCCAAATGGCAACTGAGACATACACCTCTGCATTTCCTCCCAATCCTATCACCCAAGAGCAACCAAGAGACACACACATGACTAGGGTCACCTGCTTGTTAACCTTCACTGCATCTCAGACTTTCCAAGATGTTCTGTGCTCCACTCCTTGCCTTAATAGTTATTGATCAAACCCCAGACTCAGCACACCAAGAACTGACTTAATTATTTCTTCCTTCTTTATGTCTCCTCACACACCTAACTGCTCCCAAAATGTTAAGTCATTCAAGATCTGTAACCTAAGAGCCAGCCGAGGTTGCTCTTTCCTTGTACTTTTTAAATAATTTTTCTGGATTAGAGTCATGGTCCTTTCACTGGTGTATCAATTTCTGCTATTTATTCCTTTCAATCCAACTCCCCAATTCTCCATTCTTAAATATCAATGTTTTCTGTCACTCTGCTGAAACATCTTCAGCATTTTCCCCAAAGGCCAAAGCTCCCAACAGCACAGCCATCATCAACCTTTCCTGTCTCTTCTCCTCAAAGCTCTACTGTTGCTTCCACCTTCCATCAAAACCCACACTCTACCATATACAATCTACGACTACTTACTTCTGAATTTACTCTGCCTGCACCCTTTTCTACTCTGTTGTTTACTTGCATGAATAATTTCAACTCTAAGAAAATTTCGCTCTCTGCCTCATCTTAGCCCAAGTCATGCATCTGGCTGTGGTCCAACAATTTCCATAAAAACAGCTCATGTATATTTCTGCATCCAATAATTTTCTCTATTGAATCAGTTGGAGATGGCATGTAGAATAGTCTATCTTAGTTCTAAGCACAGTGCCTGGCATTATAAGAGAAAAGGACAGTCGTCTCACCGCTTTCAGAGCATGTTAAGGTCCCTGACACCTTGGTGCAGGAGATGAACAGAGTTAACTGCCATCAGCCCTTACTTGCAACAGCTTGCGAGACATCTTTATGATAGACAGTCTAATCCTGCCACAGTTTTTATTGCTTTGGTTACGGTTTCTTATGATTTAAAGGCTAGAATTCTTTTGCAAAAAACGATGCCTTCGGTTTATGTTTACATCATCCTAATGTAAAGAGTAAATGTTTAAAATCAATCCAGGTTCTAAAATACAAGGAAACTGACACTATTCTTCATTATCTCTATTTATTTCCATTAATGCTTTATGCCTGCATTATTTTATTTCCTATCATGCATATTATGCTTTCTCATTGACTTACTTTTTATTTTACAAAACTTAAGGAAACTAAGGCCCAGAGAGGCTACCTAAAATGTAAGGCTGCACCACTCTACATGCTCCAGGTGCCTGTGCTTTCCACTGGTGACATTTTATTCAGCATCCAGAGACAGCTCATTTGAAAGATGCAAGACCTATACAATGTACTTACCTTCAAAAATGATTGGCAAGATTAAATAACTATGCATTAAGTCATATGAACTGGCTAGCTACTTCATAATGCATATTCAAAAACATTATATATTAAAATTACTCTCTAAGTTAAAACATTGAATCAAATGCTTTTAAAAATCCATTAAGAGTTCACTTTTTCAAATTTATGTTTAAACCACTTATCAAAAATAGTTTATACACACACTACCTTCTTTTGAGCAGCTTCCTTCTTTTTCTTGTCGTCTTTTTTCTTTTTCTTTTCTTCCATCAACTGTTCTTCTTCTTGCACTAAATCCCTGAACCACACAGTTGCAATTAACTTTCCCAAAATGCATTAAAAAATAAAAATAACGTTGCATAAAAGTTCAGTTTTACTTGTTAGTAGACATGGCAAATTGTTCTTTCATCAATCACTGAAATAACATAATTTGCAAACTATCTACAGAATCTCAATGCAGTACCATTCACTTTAATAAGCCATGAGTAGCATAACTTTTAATATTGTATCAAGAACAACCAGCTAAAGTAGCAGGCTGACACTGGGAAAGAAGCAGTTTCTAGAAGTGTAAGTTGGAGCTACCTTGCCTCTGTTCCCAGGGAGCAAGTAGCAGCTAATGGCAGTCCTTGGCACCTCCCACAATCCTCTCCTACCTCGGTACACAGCTTCATAAAGATCTTTAAATATAAGTTATGCATATGAAGAGGTGGCTTATTTCTGCATTAAATAGTTTAATATACTTCAAAACACAACAGTTAACCATTCTGCTGATTCTTGGGAAACAACAGTAGCTTACATTTTTTAAAGCTCAAATGATCAAATCTGTCAACAGAAATTCTGGCTTAAGATTTCACAATAGTGGACTGAACAAACGTGTCTGCTTCCTTCTTTCTTCAAGGAAAAAGGTGCTAACTCTATTCAGAGCTGGTGAATATACAAGAACAAAGACAGCCACATTGAAGAATAATTGCAAGGGAATCCTATCTCATGTTCTGGCTCCTTTCTCAGGGAGCTCTAGAGAGGAGCCCCGAACAGGGCATGTGGGTGGGGTGGGGGCAGGCACCTGCCCAAGGTGGAGAGCATCCATGCAACAAAAGGCCACAGCTACTCCGCTCTTCCCATTCATTTCCGGTGTCTGTACACACAGACTTGGAGAGAAGCTGCTTCTGAATCCAGTCTAAAACCCAAACAAGTACTCTCCAAAGAAAATAACCCTTCTGAAGGAGCCCGGTAGACTCCTGCAAAACACCTGGTTGCTCCAGAACAACACTCTTCTTACTGGAATCCACTCTTACGTCCCTCCGTGACACCCTAAAATGAAGCCTGCCAATCAACATCCTTCAAACACACAGTTGTGCACCACCCCTCCCTTTCAAGGCAAGACGTAGTAACGGACGTGGAATAAACACAGCACATACTGTTACAAGAAACATACCCCAGCTACCTTCATTATCTTAGAACCTAGAACCTAAAATTTGATTCACAATACTGACATCCAAAATTCATGAGGTAATTGAAGAAAACACTACATTCTCTCTCTCTCTCTCACACACACACTCTCTCTCTCTCTCTCTAACCCTGCCCTGAGGAAGGCGCCCAGAGGGCGTAAAGTGACTGTCAGGTAGACACAGAAGGAGGTTTGGGAATATGAACCAGGCATTTGTGAAAGCACAAATCATTTATCAAGGCTTAAATGCAAAGAATACTGAATATGAAGCAGAAGATAAAGTAAGACAGGCAAGTTCAAAAGAAAATGGGAGGAATGTAGTACATTGTATGTACGTTTATGTAGTATGTTTTATGTGTACTGCAAGGAGATTTGACAAAAGTTAAAGTGGCTTTTCTGATGAAAGAGATTGAGAGGTGAGGCAGGGAACTCAGTGAAAAATAAAATGACATTCTGAGTAACAAATGATATCTTAGTCTACAGATGTGAAAATTAAATGTTGGGAGAAGAGTGAGACTGTGGCTGTATTTCGCTGTCCTGTTGCTCCAAGTGCAACTGTCCTGTGCCTGGCTGAAAAGCAGGGCAGAGCCGGGCCAGCGGGGACTGTGCTTCACCCTCAAATTCAGATGGACAGTGCTTAAGAGCAAACAAGCTCCCTCTCACTGCCATCCGAGGGAGCCAACCCTCTAGACCAGCCACAGCAGAGAGCACTATTAGTGAACAGATATAGCTGAATTGCTCCATTATCAGGTTATCTGACCCCAGACACGCACAATTTCAGGCAGAGGAGGACTGCTAGCTCTAAGTATCTAACCTTCGGTAGCCTCACACTCTCTGTGCTTCCTAAGCCGAGCACAGGGCAGGCATACAGATGGGCACTGATGACACCTGTGTCCCCCCTTAAAGTCATGGGGGTTGTGCCTTACGCTGGTCCTTCAGCTCCAGCTTCCTGACAATGGACACCCTGGGAGGGGGTAGCGATAGTTCAAGGAGCTGGATTCGCACCACTTACATGAACCCTACACTGACTACACTAACCCTGACTCTGTAGGTGCTGGGGGAGTGAACCAGCTGATGGGAGTGCTCACTTTCTCTTTATGCCAACCTATTTATGTCTCTCAAATATAATTTTTAAAAAGATATATTTTTACTGGAAAGGCAAATCATATTTATGGAAAAAAGGAAAGAGAGGAAGATCTTCCACCCACTGGTTCACTGCCCAAATGATTGAACAGCTGGAGCTGAGCTGATCCCAAGCCAGGAGCCAGGAGCTTCTTCTGGGTCTCCCACATGGGTGCATGGTGCCAAGGCTTTGGGTCATCCTCGACTGCTTTCCCAAGCCACAAGGAGGGAGCAAGATAGGAAGTGGAGCAGCTGGGACATGAACTGGTGCCAATATGGGATCCTGGCACGCGCAAGGCAAAAATTTAGCCAAAGAGCCATCATGCCAGGTGTTTCTCAAATACAATTTTGAAGGATGGATAAATGATCTTATATGAGAATATTTCAAAAAGTCTGTAAGAAATATACATTATTAAAAGCTATTGGTGTTAGTACCATAGCACTAGCCTGCTCCACCTGTTTAAGTCACACTTACTGCTCTACTTTGTCCCACCTCCCTGCTTATGGACCGGGAGAGCTGTAGAATATGGTTCAAGTTCTTAGGTTACTGTACCCACGTGGGAGACCTGGAAGAAGCTCCCAGCATCACCTCAGCCCAGCAACGGCCACTGTGGTCATTTGGGAGTAAACCAGTGTACAGAGAACCCTTTCTCTGTCTCTCTATAATTCTGCCTTTCAAATAAAAAGAAATCAATCTTTAAAAAAAAAAAAGTGTACCCTTGTAGATCAACTTCACAGTATTCTTTGTAAGGATGGGATTTGGAGAGTTTACTTAACACTGTAGCATACATTCAAATGCCTCGGGTGAATTCAGCCCACCAATTCCCAGTGGTACCCAAGACTAACTTTATCTCACTTGTGAAGATGTTACAAGCATTCATGCATAAACATCTGCTCTCCTCAGCATTTCTTTCAGGTTCTCCTGCGAATGACAGACAGGTCCTTTCCTAATCTTCTACTTCACGGGATGTTTCCTAACTGTCTAGATTTCTATCTCTGTTCTCAAGCTTTACTTGAAAGGTTGTTTGATGAAGGTAGTAAGGGCCTTCCTAGTCAAAAACATCCTTAGTATTTAAAAGATGAATCACATTTTCTCTCAAGGAAATATTTTAATGTGAACATTTATCGCAAGAATATGGAAAAACTCTGCAACACCATCATCACAGCCAACCAGCCATGCTTTCACCACATCTTCTCCCTCAGAACACCGACTGGCAAAAAATATAAAACTGCCACCAGTGCCCAAACGTTTTCACTTATAGGATTAAATCCTAGTAGACTCATTTAAGACAGCCAACTAGACCATGCCACCTTCCCAACAACAAGTTTGCTAGCTACAGAGAGACGGGTGCATGTGTGGTATAGCAGTTAAGATGCTGGGAGGGCAAGGGGGTGGGTGCTGGAGAGCAGTGGGTTTAGCTGCTGCAGATGATGGTCCTGGCTGTGAAACAACTGATAAAAGTTACTTCTCTTTCTCCCTTTCTATCTTTTGGAATAAATAAAAATGCTGTTGGTGGGAACTCCATGGCTCAACAAGCTAATTCTCTACCTTCAAGTGAAAAGATGCCATATAACAATAGTTTGTGCCCCAGCTGCTCCACTTTCTGTCCAGCTCCCTGCCTGTGGCCTGGGAAAGCAGTAGAGGATGGCCCAAGCCTTGGGACCCTGCCCATGCACGGGAGACCCCGATGAAACTCCTAGCTTTAGATCAGATCAACTCCTGCCACTGCAGACGTGGAGTGAATCAGCAGATGGAAGATCTTTCTGTCTCTCCTCTCTATAAATCCACCTTTCCAATAAAAATAAATCTTAAATTAAGAAAAAAAAAAAGGTTTTCGCAATGTGTATGTCCAATGTTGCCCCACATAACATTCCCACAAACATACACAACATCAGTGTTTCTTAGTTTGTGAATTTGGATTAGTGATGTAAGGAAGACTTAACCACAACTAGTGAATAATGGCAAGATCCCCTATTTGAAAAATTAAAAAAGTTCTTCTAGAAACAGAACAAGAAAGTCTAAAAGCTAACAGAAATGAGTAAAAGTTCTGTCCTTAGAAACAAACAACAATCGTGGGGCAGGTGCTGTGGCTCAGTACTGGGTGCCTGGGAGTCACTGCAGCCTCGGCTTCCCACAGTTTCCTGTAATGTCACGGGAGGTAGCCCACAATGGGCCAGGGGTTTGGGAGACCCAAGTGGAGAGCTTTCAACCCAGCAGTCACTGTGTGTGTGTATGTAAGTATGTATACACACACACACATACTCATCATATACATGTAATTGCCAGATTTTCTAAGGGAAAATTACAAGCCAAATTTAATGATACACTTATTTTTTTTTTCACCAATTTTCTGCAAAAGTTTTTTCAAGTATGTAATATTCAGCATTAGTAAGAATTAGTTCAAAGAAAAAATTTTTATTGTTGGTGAGAATAAAACTACCAAGACTTTTTGGAAACTATGATGGTTACAGCTTAATCATTTGACAAAGAATCTACCCAACCACACACATTCTTCAAAACGTATCATACAATAATAAATATCAGTACGCAAGGACACAGAATGTGGAAATTCACTGCAAGGTTTGTAAGAGCTGAAAAGTATGAACAAAAATGTCCACTCGCAACTCCAGGCCCCATTAAACTCTCGGGGAAAAAAAATGAGATCCACAAAATATAAAATGAGATCCCAAAGTGGGCAACGGGTTCTTGCAAGTGCCTTATTCCACCC